ATAAGCTTCATCCCCGAGAAATGTCCGGTTCCCGAGGGATACGTAATTTTTTGTGATTTATTTAGTTTGTATGTTTTCTAATACCACGCGGACGAAGTCGCGGGCAACAGCTCGTAAAAAATAAATATACTGCAGATAATGTACACATTGCGCCATCTCTCGTCGAAAAGCTCAATTAATTTTAAGAATTTCAGATGGCGCTTGTTTTCGAACTATGGGAAAACAAGTGGCCCCAGTGAGATTTGTACGTAGTGCGCGGGGAGGGAGGAGGGAAAATACTTATTTTTTGAATCTCTTTGGTTCTAGTATTATGTAAATGTGTATAGAGTACTCTGTAACATACTGAAATTATAATTCAAACACTGAGAAACGTCTCCGCGGGTCAAATGTGTCATTTGATATCGTACAGAGAAAGTAACAGTGAAAAATGTTGTTCCCTATACCTAGTCTACATATTTCTTAAAAGTTTGATTTTTTTGTGTAAAAATCCATGGTTCTGTGTACCAGAAAAAGGGTAAAATAAATAGGATACCAAAACAAAAGGTTACTAAGAAAACGTGTTTATTTAACAAAGATCAAATAGTAAATAAAATAGCACACCACTTGCACAAAAATGAAAACAATTACAATGTAATTAGACATAATTAAATAAAATTAAATAAATAGCTATTTGCTTCTATTACCGCATTCATTTGACGGTTATTTAAGTCGCCTAGTGTAGATGAAAACATGCAAAATCTGAAGTAAAGGTCACTATTTACCGGCCTTAAGTGCTGCAGTTGAGAAATAATTAAAACAAAATCTTTCACTTGTGAATAAACTTAGAAAAAAAACTACATAAATCGTGCATTCACTTAAGGGTCTTGTCCTAAAGCTAACTTCATTTCTAACGTCAAAGTTTCTTCTGAACGATCAAATTCGTTCGGCTCGACTACATCACTTTGTACACTCCCAACGTCAATACAATCTTCAAATTTATCTTCAGAAACCTCTTCTACTTGTATGTTTTCATTCAAATCACCATAACCAGAAATATCCTGTTCTGCAGTTTCAACTATAGATTCATTGAATGTCTTAATTCCATCCCTTTCTTTAGAATCTTCAACGAGGGTGTCTTCGAATGTCGACTCATGGCTCGGTACGAGAGTGATCTCGTTGTCATCCCCCTCGGAGGCGGGGGGGCTGGCCTGCAGCGCGCAGGGGACGAACTCGCCCGCGCGCCAGCGCCGCTCGGCCTCCTCCATGTGGACCTCCAAGATGTGGGACACCTCCGGCAACTGAAATATGCTTACGTTTATAACAGAACTAGTATCTACGTGAAATTTAAAAAATTAAACAATTTTCTTTCAGAGATATAAAGTGATAAAGTATGTCGGAGAAACTGCAGATTTTCACTCACCGTGTACTGATGTTCGAGGTGATCAGAGATGTGTTCGATGATGGCATTGGTCCTGTTGTCTGCGCTGCCGGCGCGGCTCGCCAGCGCGCGCTGCGGACACAGCGGGCGCGCCCCCTCCCCCGCCGCCGCCGCCGCCGCCCCGCGCCGCTCCGCGCACTCTGTACAGGTACAGTCGCGACAACCAGCGGCGTTACACTTACAAATTAACCTTTTCATAATACAGCAACTCTTATAAATAGAGATTATTTAGGACTAGCTCTCGTTTGCGACTCCGTCCGCGTGGAGTTTAAAAAAAAGTTAATATCCCATGTGTTCTTTTAGACTAACCTCTACATCTATGCCTAATTTCATCGACATCCGTTTAACCGTTTAGGCTACAACGTTTTTCGTATTTAACTAGGATTATTTAGGATTCTTCCGGCTATTAGGATCAAAGCTAGCAATAAAATTAAAAATTACGTCTTATCAAGATACCCTGACAACAAAAAATTACTAAAAATTGATATAAAAATGTTCATGAGGCTTAATTAGAAAACTGAAATAAAAGATTGAGCAGCACCTTGCGACGGGAACCTGTCATCATCATAAGAGTTGGTGTCAATGACGTGGTGAGGCTCCGCAGCGCATAGCGCAGAACAGAACGACGTCGACGCTAGAGGATGTATGTTATCACCAACACTTGCATCTATGAAAAACATAGTTATTTATTATTACATGACAATGTAAGTTCAGCTTCGAAATTATTTCAAAACGCTATTAATTAGTAAGATGGACATTCTAGTATGTCGTCCGCATAGAATTAAAAAATACGTAAGTAGCCTATGTGTGCTTTGATCTTTTTTTACAATAAAAGATGGAAAACGAGCAAGCGGCCACCTGTATCCACCACAATGGCAAAACGATAACCCATAGATTTCCGCAATTGCAGATGCGTTGCCTACCATAAATCGACGGAGGAGACACACATAAAGAGGATAGTTCCCCTTCCTATACGTCTCCTCCGCCGTCAAATCTACTTTCCCTGCCTGACTGCCCATGCTCTATATCTATGCCAAATTTAATCGAGATACATTCCGCAGTTTAGACGGTAAACTATAACAATTATTCATTTAAATAATATTAGTAAAGTCATTAGTTAGTCGTAGGTACTAAAAAGTATTTATACCTTGAAATATTTCGTTACTTTCAATTGCATTATTGTCCATACACACATCATCTTTGTTAACTTTATCTTTTCCAACGCTTTGTTCTTTATTGGCATGAGTTTTAGCGCGTGCTGTGGCTGGTCTCTTTGCCTTTTTAACTGGTGTATTTATCTCTTCATTAGAATCCGTTTCACTTAATATATTTATTGATACAGTATCTTCAGATGAAGCTGAAATTTTTTTAAATGTTAATATATACATGAAAAAAATATACAAACGAATTGAGTACGAAGAGAGTTGTTCCAGCCTTTTTTATACTTACCTGTATTGTTAATAACTTCATCGCCAATCTCATAATGCACTTCATTATCTACATACTGAAATAATATGGTGCCCGGCACCTTTGTTAGTTTCACTTTCTTTTCTTCTATAACAAAAGTCAATATATCAAACCAAACAGATACGATTTTTGTTCTGATATATCGTTTATTTAAATTAAAACAGCGCAGACAAAAGGGCAGATTAATTGAAAAATAAAAAATATTATTACCTGCCCCACCTTTAAGACTTACGTAGCCATCGTTTGAAACTAGGGCAAGCAACAGCAAAAACAAACTCATTTAAGCATTCTAAGCCTAACAGAGTTGTCACAACATGGAACAGACTTCCGGATAGTGTAGTGGCGGCTTCAACTGTCAACGCCTTTAATATAGACCAGATAAAGTGAAAATCTCCGAGCTATACGACACACACATCAGCTAACTATCTGGGAGAAACCTAAAATAGTAACAACAAGGTATACCAGGCGTGTCCCCGCCAGTGAGCTGGCTGTAGGCGACTCTGTCGAAGGCGTTGTCGTGTCGGTAGGTGGTGACGCTGCTCCTGTGTGGTTCGCGCACTTGGTGCGGCGCCGCGCACTGCCGCGCCCCGTGGTACTCCTCCATCACTGCCTTGTCGTACAACTTCTGTACAAACCACTCTTGGTCGGTGAAGCCATGGGTGGTGGTGGGCTATTTGGTGTTCATGACAAACCGTAAAGAATATATGGGAATCAAGAACTGGCGTCTCAGAAAAATTAGAAATATTATTATACAGATTAAACATGTCCTTATTTCGTACTAGCAGTTGCTCGCGACTTTGCGCGCGTGCTAGTAAAAATAATAAAAAGTATAGCCTATGTTACTCACGAATAAATTGCCTTTCTAACAGTGA